GGTTGGAATCCATTACACTTTATAACAGTTGTAGGATAGAATTGGCAGAAGTTATGGCAAAGGGTTTGAGATATCATCTCAAGTGTAAACCAAAAATTGTTTTTGACTGAGTTATCATCCAATATTATATACAGCTTTTTAACTCTTGTGTAAATTGAACCTGTGTCTACTTTTTGACTCTAGTATAGTTTGGTTGGTTGATTTTGTTTAGTGGCATATCAACATCTCTATGGGTTACTTAATGCTGAAATCTAAATAATTTGAACGCAATTTTGTTTTCAACTCAATATATTTTGCACACAATTGTATGCCTTCAACTACGGATAAATTGTCTTGTTGACCATTTTGATATAAATACATATATAAATATAAATACTTCTCATTTTAATATAAAGACATATTGTTGGTCATCTTTTATATAAAAAAGTATTGATGGTATTTTTACTATAAATATATATTTTTATATTTTCATAGTGTTTTGTTTGGGGGTTCACTATTTGCCCATAGCTTGGACCCTAACAGGTGCTACCACTCTGGGAACAACAGCAATTAAGAGGTGCTTCCACATTCCTCAAAACCTTTAATCTCCTGATCAGAGACCTTTCTGCCGAATGTAGTTTATCGTCATACCCAGGATTGATGAGTATAAACCTGAACCTTTTCAATTGAATTTAAACCAGATCTATGTCCTTTTTTTTTTAATCAACTAACCAAACAAAGTGATGATGCCACTAAGCTACAGGGGTTACTGAGAGTGAAAGAAACTAAAAAAAAGAAATAAGTGATAAATATCTACTCTTGTTCAAAAAAACCTGGGAGGAGTGTGAACTGGACAAGAGTCTGCTATTTAATGAATTCATTTTGATTTTTGTCATTTTAAATATATTTCACACACACAGCTTAGATCCACCGGTCATATAGATTTCAGGCTGTTCCCATTATCATGAAGTCATCTCCCTGACAAATTGACTAAGGATGAGAAACAAATCCAGGTCTCATAGTCAGAACACTAATATTTTAAGCACTCAGCCACTTACCAAAAAACTTTCATTGTATAACTAGAATAAACACACTTTTATGGTCTTGTGCCATTCCAGGCTAGGCTTAGTTACTATCCAGAACCACTAATGTAATATTCAGTTCAATACATTTATAAAGTTCCCATCAACAACCTTTTATATCTTAATGGACGATGTTGAACTTAAATTATAAGTTTATTTTATTATATAAGGGAATGTAAAGAGTTGGTAGGTTCTTCACTTGGGGTAAATAGTAAAAGGCCATAAAAAATGTTCCACTTTATTGGATGTTAAACAAAATAGATGCAGACAAAGAGACATAGAAGCTTAGAATAAAGAAGCACTTGGATTTAGCATGAGTAAAAAATCTGTTTGACGCCTCATTTTTACTCCTCCCCCACGTCTGAGCAAATTAAACCTGTCTACTTGTAACTCAGATCACTTCTAGCAGACAGAATGGACATTGCAAAAAAATAAAAACAAACAAACAACACATTTCTAGTTTAAAAGACTTATGTTCCGTGTTCATATTTGAAGGTTTTTAATGTCAGGAGGGAAAAGAGGTTGTCAATGGTGGTGAGTCCTTTTGACAAGGTTAATGGTCAGTTCAAATAACTGCTTTCTTATTTTCTTAATAGGTCAGTCAGGTTGCTTCTGTGCTTAATTCTGTGGAACGCACAATCAAGGGAGTGTTTAATTTAATTTCAATTACCTTTCATCTTCATTTATGAAGAAAAGGGTGCCAGAAAAAATTTGACGAGTAATAAGGGAGAAAGATGACGAAAATGATAAAGTAGAAAAACAAATATAAGAGATTGGGAAAGAAAGAAAGAAAGAAAGAAAGAAACAAACAAACAAACAAACAAACAAACAAAAGGTCAAGTCAATTTTAGGATCAATCAACTAATGATTTTTATCTGAGCTCATATTACAAATTTTTTTTTTACCTCATTTGTTATTGACCCAAAGAGGTGTATGTTCAATCCCTGGCCTCAGCAGAGTGAACAAAAACATGAAGGTGGAAAAAACGAAAGCTTATCAAGGTGAATTAACTAAAACTGAGATATCCAAGTGTATGTTACATAGAATTAGTACAATCTACCCCTCTCCACCTTACACACCCCTTGGACTAAATAAATAAATGCTACAATGCATAAAAAACTATAAAAATAAAAAGAAGTTAATATAAAAATAATGAACAAAAGTGAATATTTTAACACCAAGTGAAAAACATTCTTAGTAATGGTGTGTAAATTTAGTAAGCGGCTTATAGGAAGGCCTTTCTCTGTGTGTAAGTGTGTGCGTATATAAGTATGAGTGACAGAGTTCTTGTATGTATGTATGTATGTATGTAAGAGATTCTTGAAAGAGAAATCTATTTACTTGCTGTCATAATTTTTAAAGTATTAATGGATTTTTATTTATTGATCTGACAGATTTTATTATTTAAACATTATTTTTAGTGTATTTAAGTGCTTTAGCTGATTAGATATGAATGTTTTGAGAGTTTGAAAAAGATTTGCATTTATAAGGCACTATTCAAATTTGCATGATCATCAACAAAATCCGTGATATGCAAAGCACCAGCATAAAACAGGAGGCCAAAGGTAAATAACTGGGTCATATTCCAAGATAAGCTGTAAATATCCTTGCAATCAAGGATTATTTTGGTATTTTATATAGTTTTGAGAAGGGTCATTAGCATTCAAATAGATCTAATGAACAAATATTTTTTTAATTATGTCTAATAGTGAATTTGATATAACTAAAAAATATTCATTGATTAGATGCTATTCTTTTTAGTTTTATAATCATTAGACAAAAATTGTTTCATCTTTTGTCAACACTTGTGATAAACCTAACCATAAAATGAACCTTGACCATTTAACTAAATTATATACATAGACTGTTTCTTGTTTAACATGGTAGTAGCAGTAGCCACACATAAGTCAGCATTATTTTTTTTTACCTCCCTTTGGCATTTTTTACTACACCATAAAGTCAATTTAAGAACCAGTAACAAACTTTTACCCCACAATTTTGATAAGCTTTTGAATATTTATTATACAGGTGGGCAAGGAAAAATGTGGATGAAGATGCAAAAAGGTTTGGGAACCCCATTTCTATAGCAAAATAATTTGAAGTACACCTCCTATAGTAACATTATTTTCAACAGATTTTATATGAATTTCTATAAATGCTTTTAGTCTTTGCAGTGTACAGAAATAATGGCCATCAGCATGAGTAAAAGATGTGAGTTACAAATTGGAGATATCAAGTAAGTTAAGAAGTTTAAATATCTTGGGAGTGTTTTAAAAGAGGATAAAAATGTGGCACTGAGATCTGAACACAGATTGGACTAGGGAAAGAAGCAACTGAAAAACTAAGGAAGATGTTGAGAAACAGAAAAAGAAAATGTGTCTTGGATTGCTATGTGGTACCTATCCTTGTATATGGTAGTGAATGCTTGACAGTCTCCCTACAGATAAGGAGAAAACTAGAGGCAGCAGAAATGTGGTTCTGCAGAAGGATGCTAAGAATACCATGGATGGAGCAAGTAAGCAAGCAGGAAGTCTAAAAGAAAATGGAAAAAGAAAGAACACTTCTACTCATAATCAGGAAAAGTTATCTGAGATTCCTTGGACACATAATGAGGAAAGATGGCTTGGAAAACTTAACCCTTAGGGAGCATATTGAGTGGAAGTGAAATAGGGGAAGGCACTGTGTCACTTACCTGACAAGCTTGTGTGAATAGATGGTGAAACAAGGAGTGGGCAGGAGGAAAAAACTGTTAAGTACTACAAAAAATAGGAAGATGTGGAGAGCCATGATTGCCTATATAATGAAGGGACATGGCACATAGAAGAAGTTTATATTTGTATCATTAGAATAGATTAAACTATTAACGTATTTTTTTTAAAAATCCTACCTGTGATATTATTGTGGTAGGATCCACCTAATTTACATAGTGGAGTACCGACCATATAAATATGGTTGGTACCGGGAAGAGAGTGGGAGGAATCAAGAGATTCAATCCAGAGACTCTGCCCGACTGCGACTAAGTCAACACATTCTCCAGGAACAGTCTTCCCAGGAATATACAAAAGACTATATGTAAATATTGTGTACACTTTCTTGTTTCAATACATTTTGTTCTAAGTACATTTTGTGTTGCATTATTATTCCATGCATTAGTCAAGTTTCAACAGATATCAAATGAAAAACTGGTGGCTAATAATTAACCTTGGTTTAAATGGTGATTTTCTAAGTGTAGCATGAGATCAAAATCACTCTCCAGTCATAATTGATCTAGCAAAAAAAGCTTGCAAACTATTACACTATACTGAAGTACTGAAACCTTGGTATAAATGATAAGTCAGATTATTTTCACTGCTTTTTAGATATTTAAAGATATTCACATGACCTGATTTACTAAGTGTAGCTTAGATTTGGCAAAAGGCCAAAAGAATGGGACACCCAGTAAGAATCAAACTTATTATTTAGTTGTAATTAATCTAGCAAGACAAGATTGCTAACCATTACACAACTATGAAGTGCCCAAACTTTGGTATAAACGGTGAATTATTTTCATTTATTTTAGACATTTAAAGATATTCACTTGTGTAGAGTTGTACAAAATCGGAAGATTTTTTTTCTTTTAGTTAAATAAGCGATTTCTTTACAAAAGTAAGTCATGTCATCATTAATACAAAGTTGGTATTGTCAAGATTCTCTTGTGTTCTTGCAACCCTAAATTAGTGTCAAATGTCTTCCGGTCAGCAGATTTTCTCGCAAAATTTGAGACCACTGAGAGGAATTGGTTTTAGCAGCAAGACCAAGTCAGAATCATTTCCCCTTATAAGATCTCCAATTTCCTCTACTTCAATTGTGAATTGTAAGGAATGGTTGCACTAAAACAATGGGGTGACATTAGGAAGTACAAATGAAAGAAAGAGAAAAAGAAAAGACGTATATTGATCAATGTTCAAAGGTCTTGAGACATGGTCCGAGCCCCTGAGGTTGGTGATACTCACGTCAACCTTATCTTTTGTTTCTTCAATAAAGTTTCACAATTATAGAACTTCTGAAATACCACTGGATTCACAACTCTAAAGCTGTTTTTAGTTATTCATAATGAAGATGTTAGTTTTTGTTATTGGCTTACTTTGATATCTAGAGTTCTGTGTTCAATTCTACAATGGATACTGTGCTAATGCTAATTTGGACATTTTCTGTAGTTTTGAAATATGTAAAGAACTTGTATAAAATTGAAATATGCATTGAAATATGTAAAGAACTTGTATAAAAAAAACAGGAGGCTTAATGTGAATAACCTAGATAAGAAAAGTATCCATGCAAACAAGGAATATTTTGATATTTTCTATAGTTTGGAGGAGGGTCATTAACATTTACATAGTTTTTCACTATTCAGTCAATTATGTGCCATGCATGATACAGACGATCATGTATCTTTCAATACATGACTGACGAAACAGAATTTTTTCTCGCAGGTTTCCATTTCTTTCTGCGGTAGACCAGTTGCCTTCCAAAGCTACAGAACCTGGTCTGTCTTGCTATTTACCCATAGCTGGGGGGGGGGAGAAGAATAGGATTCATACCTTTTCCTAGGGTATTAGCACATAAGTGAATGTAATGGATTTGACTGGGATTCGAACTTAACTCTCCGATTCCTCAACTTGAGCCGCTATTCATTACTCCACTGTGCCTCTTCTTCACTATTAGATATAACAAAAAATATTCATTGAATTTTTATTAGTAGCTATTAGTGTATATTATTTTTAATTTAAGTTTGTTCTTTAACATGGTAGTAGCAGCAGTAGCCACACATGTCAGCATTATTTGTTACCTCCCTTTGGTATATTTTTACATCATCATAAAGTCAGTATATGAACCAGTAACAAACAGAACAGTCTACCCCAGTGAGTGAAATAAAGGTTTCAGTTCGACATTCCGACCACCTGAAGAAAGCCGGAGCGTACAATGGCCAAAACGTTGTAATAAATATGGTGACAAAGATAAGGACAATAGTCCGAATAATTTAAATAATGTACATAATACCACATCTCATAAATATAGACAGATATATATATATATATATATATATATATATATATATATATATATATTTTCATGAGTATAGCAACAATGTTAAAATACCTTTAAAAGCAATATTTTAGGATACTCAAATTGTAAAAAAAAATTTTAAATTGTAGGTTGAGTTTTTTAAAACATTATAATAAAAAAACATAAATTAAGTTACCTCCTTTACACATTCTTAACATTAATTTTTAAATTTAGTATAACAGAATGCATTTCATAAGCATTTACAAAAAAATTCACAAATATCAATTATATTAATTTTTTGTTTAGCAATTCACTGCTAAAAATGATTTTGGTTGAGTTTGAAATTACCTGGGAAAATAAAAGCAATGAGAAAAACTATGGTATCTTTCTTACTCACTTTAACAACAACACTAAGAAATCAATCTATAGATTTGAGAGGATTAAAATAGAAATAAATAATCATGTCTAGATTATTCAGCCAAACATGCTTGAATGAAAATATGCTGCTTAAAGCACACATGAAATGATTAAACCATACATATGTTTATATTTATAGGTACAGATATATATATATATATATATATATATATATATTTATTGGCACATATATGCTCATGTATATGTTGTATTGCACACACTTCTCTTTTTATAAAAAACATTTCTTATACATAAACTGTGATTTTTCCTGGTTTATAAGATTTAAGATAAAGAGTTAGAAATCTCACTTGAATGTTCCAGCTTATTCATAAAAATTGCAGGAAAGAAATGAAAAAAAATATAGTGGAATAGCAATGAGTGAACAATTGCAGGGAAAAAAGCTGATAAAAATGTTGCTTTAAAACTAGAAATGAAAAATGAGGGAATTAAAATGGAAACCAAAAAAATTCCCAAAAGATTTTAAAAGAGACTGGAAAACAATATTTGACAAAATGATGTCTTTGAGAAATTATATCAGGGCTATAAAAGTAAAGTGTTTTTTTTAAAATAGATTTTTATCTCACAAGCACACACTTTCTTTCTTTCTTTCTTTCTTTCTTTCTAGCAATTTCTCTATCTCTTACAAACTCACACTTTTCACTTTCTTTCTTTTTCTCATGCTAACTGTATCTCTCTCATAAACTCACACTTTTTCTTTCTTTCTTTCTTTCTTTCTTTCTTTCTTTCTTTCTTTCTTTCTTTTCTTTCTAGCTGTTTCTCTCTCTCAAACTCACTCTTTCTCCCTTTCTTTTTAGCTGTTTCTCTCTGAAAAACATACACTTTTTTTTTTTTTGCTGTTTCTCTTGCACGAAACTCACACTTTCTTTCTTTCTTTCTTTTTTCTTTCTAGCTGTTTCTTTCTCATACACTCATACGTTCTTCCTTTCTTTCTTTCTTGCTGCTTCTCTCTCACAAACTCACACTTTCTTTCTTTCTTTCTCTCTCTTGCACTCTGTTTTTATTTCTAGCTCTTTTTACTTTTCCTCTTACTATATTTCTCTTTATTTTTTCTTTTTCACTTCCCCTTTTATTATTCTGTTTTTCTTTTTCTTTGTCTCTTTCATTCCACTTGATTATCCTATTCTTTTGCCCTCTCTCTTTATTTCCAACTCTTTCCATTTTCATCCATTTCTCCACTCTCTCACTTATTGCTTTTCTTTCAAATTTTTGCTTCCTTGTTAGTTGTTTCTTTTTTTCATTCTCTTTCTTTTTAAATATTTGTCTTTCTCTCTCTATTTCTTTTTGGCTCTTTCTCTCTATTTCTCTCTGTCTCTTTCTTTTTATCTTTTTACCTACTTCTCCCTTTAAAATCTATTGCTTTTTCTTTTTTCCTCTCACTTTTTCATGTTGGTTGTATCACTTTTCGTTTTTCTACCTTTTTCTTCCTAACTCATTTTTTGGTTCATTTTCTTCCTTCTTCTTTTTCTCACAATCCTTTTAGTAACTGTTTCTCTCACTCACTTTTTAGTTGTTTCTTGTCTCTCTCTCTCTCTCTCTATCCTCTCTATTTCTTTCTCACTGTCTTTCTTTCTTTCTTTCTTTCTTTCTTTTTAAATAGCTTTTGTTTGTTTTATTTTTTATTCCTTATAAAGTCCCATATTTTCACTTGTGAAAAAAAAAAAAACAAAAAAGAAAAAATATCACTTTTGAAATTTTTTCTCTCAACATTGTTTCAATTGTTGATAAAAATTTATGTCTGTTTGGATTAGGGATGGAACAATTTACTTTTGTTTAAAACAGAGAAACAATTTTAAAAACAAAATCTTTCGAAAAATATTTCTAAAAATGATTTTATTAATGCAAATGGAAAATGGCAAAAACAGAAAAAAAAGTATTTCATACATACATATATATATATATATATGTGTGTGTGTGTGTATATATATATATATGAATATATATATATATATATATATATATATATATATATATATATATATATAAATACTTGGATGCTAGATTAAATTGGTATCCAATATAAAGTAGGTATATACTGAAATCTGAAATAAGTATAAATATTTAAAAGGTGTGGCAGAAATAGCTCCTACATAAATTTCCCAGAAATACCTCTTGCATAAAATAGTAAGACATTAGTGACAATGGTATCTTCATTTAGCTAATGTCTTACCATTATGTGGGAGAGATTTCAGGAAGGTGTAAGTGGGAGGGATTTCCTTTGCACTCTGTGTATTTGTGTGTATGTGTGTGTGTATTTGAACTTAACCACTGTGTGTGTGCATGTGCGTGAGTGTGTGTGTGTGTGCATGTGTGTGTGTGTGAACCCATCTAATTTTGAATTTATGACCTAGAACAGTGATTCCCAAATATTTTCGGAATTAAAATTTGCTCAGACCACACCAAATTTTACGTGATAAAAATTACATTTAGAAATAAAGAAACAGAGACGGTTAAAGGGAGATAACTGCTGATTCGAAGTCCAAACATTATCCTTGATAATTCTCTCCTCCAATTTGCAAACCCTAGTTAATATATTCTTAATGCATGATATGATACAAAAATATCACAATGATAAAATTGGTCAATAGTTATTTATAACTATTTATACAGGGACACATGCATGCAATTACGATTCATAATATTTTAAAATTTGAAATTATTTTTATTTTTGGAGTATAAATTTTTTTAAACTTTTCTAAATCTTTGATTATCTTTCAATCATTCAGCCTTACCTGCTACCCTCTTCCACCACACATATGAGGTGTGCCACAGTTTTTGGGAAACACAGTCCTAAGGAAATACATGAATTGACTAGGGAAAGGCATAAACCCACCTATTATGTAAAGGTTTTTGAATCATCCATTCATATTCCAATTTTGATTATTAATTATTATTATTTTTTAAAGTTGTTCACACAATACAAGGCCTAAGAGCCTCTCAAGTTAGAGGGTTACTGAATGATGTTGTTGAAAGTAGATAGCAGTTCTCTGATCCTTAACAACTTTTCAAGTCTCAGGTCAACTGCTAACTAGTTTCAACAGTATCAGTCAGTAACCCTCTAACTTGAAGGGCTCCTACGCCTTGTATTGGTTGAACAACTTTAAAAAATAATAATAGTTAATAAACAATATTCGTAAATATTAGTTATCCATAATTGTCAGTACTTTATTATAATGATTTTTTCATTTTTCATATTTGACAGCCATAACAAAGTCAGTTGAGGATCCTTTGGCACTGATCACTGCTATGAGATACTTCCTATATTCTTTAGTAAGGCTTTGACATTTGTCAGCTTTTTGAGATGGGTTTCTTCCTAAATCCTTTAATAAGGCTTTGACGCTTGTTGCCTTTTTGAGGTGAGATGCTTCCTATATCCTTTAATAAGGCTTTGACGTTTGTCAGCTTTTTGAGATGAGATGCTTTCTATATCTTTTAATAAGGCTTTGACGATTGTCACCTTTTCGAGATGAGATCATTCCTATATCCCTTAATAAGACAATGATATTTGTCGGTTTTTGAGATGAGATGCTTCCTATATCCTTTAATAAGGCTTTGACACTTGTCGTCTTTTCGAGATGAGATACTTCTTTTATCCTTTAATAATTCTTTTTATTTTTGTCGTCTTTTTCGAGAGGAGATGCTCCCTATATTCTTTAATAAGACTTTGACATTTGTTAGCTTTTTCGAAATGAGATGCTTCCTATAACCTTTAATAAGAATTTGACGTTTGTCGGCTTTTTGAGATGAGATGCTATTCTTTCATCCTTTAATAATGAGATGCTTTGAGGTTTTAACGCTCATCTTTTTCAAGATGATATGCTTCCTATATCCTTTAATAAGGCTTTGACATTTGTGAGCTTTTCGAGATGAGATGCTTCTTGTATCCTTTAATAATGAGATGCTTTATCCTTTAATCTGTGATGCTTTTTTTTGAGATGAGATGCTTCCTATATCCTTTAATAAGACTTTTGACATTTGTCAGCTTTATGAAATGAGATGCTTCCTATATCCTTTAATAAGACTTTGACATTTGTCTTTTAATAGATGATATGAGATGAGATCCCTATATCCTTTAATAAGGCTTTGACATTTTGTTGGCTTTTTCGAGATGAGATGCTTCTTATATCCGTTTGTTTTTTTCTTAATGAGATGCTTTGATCCTTTAATAAGACTTTTTTGAGATGAGATGAGATGCTTCCTATCCTTTTTTAAGTCTTTGACACTTGTTGGCTTTTCGAGATGAGATGCTTCCTATATCCTTTAATAAGACTTTGACATTTGTCAGCTTTACGAAATGAGATGCTTCCTATAACCATTAATAAGAATTTGACGTTTGTTGGCTTTTTGCGATGAGATGGTTCCTATATCATTTAATAAGGCTGTGACACTTGTCGGCTTTTTGAGATGAGATACTTCCTTCATCCTTTAATAAGGCTTTGAGGTTTGTCGGCTTTTCGAGATGAGATGCTTCCTATATCCTTTAATAAGGCTTTGACGTTTGTCGGCTTTTCTAGATGAGATGCTTCCTATATCCTTTAATAAGGCTTTGACGTTTGTCGGCTTTTCGAGATGAGATGCTTCCTATATCCTTTAATAAGACTTTGATGCTTGTCAGCTTTTCGAGATGATATGCTTCCTATATCCTTTAATAAGACTTTGACATTTGTCAGCTTTACGAAATGAGATGCTTCCTATATCCTTTAATAAGACTTTGACATTTGTCTTTTCGAGATGATATGCTTCCTATATCCTTTAATAAGGCTTTTGCTTTGACATTTGATGAGCTTTTCCTTTATGAGATGCTTCCTTGTATCCTTTATTAGTCTTTGGCTTTTTCGCTCATCGTATCTTTTAATCGAGATGAATGAGATGCTTCCTATCCTTGTATCCTTTAATAAGTCTTTGACACTTGTTGGCTTTTCGAGATGAGATGCTTCCTATATCCTTTAATAAGACTTTGACGTTTGTTGGCTTTTTGCGATGAGATGGTTCCTATATCATTTAATAAGGCTGTGACGCTTGTCGGCTTTTTGAGATAAGATGCTTCCTACATCCTTTAATAAGGCTTTGATTCTTGTCGGATTTTCGTGATGAGATTCTTCCTATATCCTTTAATAAGTCTTTGACTTTTTCTATGTGTCCCTTTAAGACGTGGCAATCCTGGCTCTCCATAATTTCCTGTCTTTTGTAACTCTTAATTAATTTTATTTTATTATCTCTCCTAAAGTTCAGCCATCTATTTACTCAAAATCTATTAGGCATTGTTTTCCTCTGCCATTCTTTCAATCTGTCTCTGTGAGGATCAAATTTTCCAAGGCTACATTCCTCTATGTACCCTAGAAATTCCAACTTCATTTTTCTCTTTTTAAGTATAATTGTCCTTTTTTTTCTAAAATTTTTGCCAACAATATTGCTCCCAACTCTCGCATAAATTGCAAGCCGGCTGGGATTTTTGCCTTCAGTTAGCAATTAGTCTAAGAGAAGGAGAACTTTGATTTCAAGGCCAGTCGGAAGAAAGATGGGCTCTTGCCCAAGATACACCAACGTTGTTATGGGTACAGGACATGTTGTACCTGTAAAACCCTGAACTTGTAACGTAAAGAATCTTATCTTTCTTCAACTATTCTGATGTGATTTTCAAAGGATGTTTCATGTCATTGTCTTGTTTGATGATGAATTGTTTGATTAAAATGTTTAAATTAGATAGCAGAATGTAAGAGATTTTCTTTTGAAAGAATGTATTGATATTTTAGTAAATTCCTTTCCCCCTCAATCTTGACGTTTATCTCAGTAACTGATGTGTCTGTGGCATTGCCAGGGGACTTCTCTTAACTCCTGCTAGATGGAGTTGTATTAAGCATTATAAATAGAAACAACTCAAACATGTTCTATCTTAACTATAGTATACAGTAAGTGACTGTCTGAAGAGGGATGGGTTCTGTCAGGCCATCTTGATCTAAAGTGATGTGGTGCAAAATGGATTATGGAAGCTTATTATTCTTAAATCATTCTAAGTTGGTTTTTGAGTGAGGTTTCAGATAGTTGTCTTGGAATATACATCACTAGAATTGATAGCATAAAAGATTCATCCACTATAAGGCTCAAGAGTCACTTCAGGTAGAGCGTTACTGAATGAGGTGTGTGATATGAACATAAGAGAAGCAAGTTGGAAGTGAAGATTACAAAGATACAGTGGATAGCTCACAATTGACCCTTGACTTGAAAAGGTTAAAATTATAGTGTTTTGGGAAGCATCACTGCAGGATTCACATTTAAAGTGGAACACCTTTTTTATGAAAGAAATATTTAGGGAACTGGGGTGATTCAACCCTGTGGATGTGGCAAGGTGGGCCCTGCATTAAGAATGGAGCTCATCAGAACATTTACTATGGGAGTATGATAGAGTAGCAACAGGCTCTCACTGTGAGAAAAGAGGTGGGGTTGTTGATTGAAACATAAATTACCCCTCACAAGGCCACATATTTTTAAATTCTTCCAAGGTTGGAAAATGAAGATTGGATAGTTCCAACTCAGATATGTCAGCAAAACTCCATTTTTGATCTGACTTCCTAGAGCAGTACAAGGCGCCAACCATT